ACCTCACAGAGCAGGTAGGGAGGCACCCAGTCTCCTGGAACCACCCCCCACAAGAAGCCATTGTGACCAACTCTCCACTGTTAAGTTGGGGAAATTGAAGCCTCAAAATGGGAAGAGCCCGTAGTGTCTGAGAAGCTGGGAGAGCCCTAAGACTCCAATACCAGGCCATGTACTTCCTTATTCTGTAGACCCCTTTCTGTCCTAAGATTCCCAGATTTACCATCTTCTTAGGTTATGTGTGAATACATTTTGCAATCCGGAGCTTCTCACTGGTGGACATTGGGCCTAACACAAAATAACATTACATGTGTTGCTGTTTTAATAAAGTTCTAAGTTTTGCTGAAGAAAAATAAAAGCAGAACAAAGCAGAAATGTTTGGCTAAGTTTTTTCTGTTAGTCTGCTTGTAGAGAGCCTAACATTTGGACAGTGAAGCTAAAATGAATTCACTTTTGCCCCCTTATGGCAGTTGCTCAAAATTGCAGGCTAAGTACCTGTGGGAAGTTGAATAATGTTCCTCCAAAGAGGACCAGGTACCAAATCCAGAATATGTTATGTAGCAAAAGGGAATTAAAGCTGGCAGGTGGAATTTAGGTTGCAAATAAGCTTACCTTCAGATGGGGGAGAATATCCTAGATTAACCATGTAGGCCCAATGTAACTACAAGGATCTTGTAAGTGGGAGACAGAGGCACAGCAGCATGAAAAGCACTCAGCCCAACACTGCTGGCTTTGAAGGTAGAGGAAGGAGCCAAAAGCCAGGGAGGAAGGGCAGCCTCTATAAGCTGGAAAAGGCAAGGAAACAGCCTCTTCTAAAACCTCCAGGAAGGAACACTGCCCTGCCAATACCTCTTTGATTTTAGTCCAGTGAGACCCATTTTGGATTTTAGACTACCACCATGATATGATCCTAATTTAAGTTACTAAGTTTGTGGCAATTTGTTATAGCAGCAGTAAGAAACCAATACAGAACTTCTGAAACTACTCAGGGAAGGGGAAACTCTAAAATGCTACCATTATAATTGTTACCAGGTCTTTCAATCATGTACTCATTCATTTGTTCATCCAACAAGAATTTATGAAGCATTGGATACAGGGCTAGGCAGAGCCAGCCCCTCTCCCTAGGGATGCAGGTGGAGAGGTGGGCAGGATATTTTGCACAGAGTAGGTGCTTGCTGAACCAGACTTGCCATGCTGTGGGGAGGTACTGAGCTCTGAGGATGGGTTGGTTAGAATCTCCCTT